CTGAAATACTCAAGATCTCTGTTTTCTGTTTCCATGCTCCCAGCCTGCAGGTTTCTCCGCCCCCCCCCTCAACACACAGAGCAAAACCCCATAACCAAACCCACCACACTGATCAGCAACTCTGTTTCCTTACCTTAAATAACGCTGGGTAACTCCTCTAAATCTTTGCAGCTAGCCTAAAGAAGATCCAGCTTTCTATTCCCTCCTTTAGTAAGTAACCAGTTATGAAAAACTGCAAAGCTTAGGGAAAGGCCTAAGGCATTGTAACACCATCCTGTCCCAAACCCTGCGAGACAAACGCCTGAAGATAGGCAGATACCTGCATAAATACCTATTGTATAAACAAGGTGTATATATATCCATATACATAACATGCTAAAAGAGCATACAGAAAAAATACCAAGTTGTGTGCAGGTATCTCAAGATAGGAATCTTTTTTCTTAGTAGTTACTATATTATGAATCAAGTTTTAATTTTAAGTAATGGGTATCTGTCATAGGCTTGTCATTTTTTAATCTAACAGCTGTTTAAAGATCCGTTTCAAAAAACAGATGTGTAGATTTCAGGACCGGAGACAACTCTGATAAGGATATGCAGCCATCTCCCACCACCACCACCCTACTCACAGAGTATGCTTCTTACCTTTCAGTGTCAATAATGAGGGCAATAACTGTCTTTGCTCCTCTACTAAATTTGCTCCTGTACTTCCAGCTAAAAATGATTTTTTAAAACACTGTACTTCATTTCAGACCTAAAAATGCTACAAAAATACTAATTAAAAGATTTGTAGCACTTCTGCTAATATCCATACACAATTTTAAATTAATTTCCTGCTTTTTACAGGAAAGTGAAACAGTAAGTTATACAGTAAGTTCTAAGAACCGAGAAAAGGCCGCTTGCTATCCTTACTCATGCAGTTCTCTACTACAACCTGTTTACAATGTCGAAACAGTCCCTTCTGGGTGAAGCTGCACTGCTCCACATCCGAAATGTAAAGTTTGTATCATTTTTAAACTGTTTATCTTATTTTTACAAGGTGCAGATTTTCTTTAAAACAGATCCTCTTGCTTAGCATATGTTTTGATAGCATAGTGAGGCTGCTAAGTTTTATATCTACATGACCACCTAGGCAAAACAATGGGCAACCCCAAAGTTACTTTGGTTAAAAAACTCAAAAACCTCACCGGCACAAGGATTCTCTAACAGAACAGAACACGGCCCTGCTCTCCGTTACTCCTTAGGCACTGCTTAGATAACAAAAACTGGAAGAAAAGAACAAAAATTTGAAAGCCTAAGATATTACCTCTCCCCTGACTTCTTTTGGATTTGCCTTTGCCAAATTTCAGTAGAAGATAGGCAGCCCTATCCAATACCTTTCATTAGCTCCAGGAAAAGTTGTCTCTTTCTCGCTGTACAAGTTTACTGCCCATCATCATTCCATGCATCTCACCTGTATCACTAAAATGTATTGTCCGGAAAACTCTATTATAAAGGCAATGTATAGATTCCATACAGTAGATACAGTAACTCCACATTTTTCAGTATTTAGATTGCCTCGGGCATTTCAAACGCATATTCGAGCCTCCTGGCATTGGGAGGAAATCACTCAAACTCCTGTCACAGCAGCAGCAGCAACACCCGGAAGACTGAGACAGAAGCATCTTACAAGTTCTGTTGCAGCGCTGTGGGATACTGCCTGGACCTCAGCCCACGTGATCTATGTCAGTGGAGGAAACCGAGAGTGACAGAGATCTAATATTCCATGTTATTTTACTGAGTCTGGGCAGTGCCTGACTACCTGTTACAATAATGAATGTGATACAGACACATCACCTTTGAAATAACGCCTTTAAAATAAAATTTACTGTTGGTCTCTCTCTAGTGTAGAGGACAGGATGAATGGTTTTCTCATTCCTGTGGCAAAATGTTCTTGTGGCAATTCATTTGAATACAAATGATCTAACATTGTTTAACTCATGGTCCTCATGACAGAAATGCTTGGAATATTTTTAGCCAAGAAAATCTTAAACCGCCTGGTTCATTCATTTCAGGATTGAGTAAATCTATCTTATCACTGATTGCACTATTTTGAAGGAGAAAAAAAACGCAAGTTTGCTTTTTTAATCACTTTGAAATTGTGATTTTTGACCCAAGAAAAAGATTTCTCACACACACTCACATACATAATACATGGAAGACAGGACAGTCGTGGGATGCAAAAGTTTAATATTTTAATGGGTTTTGATTTCCTACTGAATACTTATTTTAGCGTATATTAACAGAACTGCATACATTACAGAGACTAAAACTGCAATTTTTTTTCCTCTTCTGCCACAAGTACTGAAGGTAATTATATGGCCCGCGCTCAGATCGGCTTATGCTAACATCAGGAAAAAACAAATTGTATTGTTCATGTATGGCTCATGTAACTGTTTTAAATATCTGCATCTGTTACCTTAACATTTATTTATTGAAGACAACCTGCAGTAAAAGATTACATTGCTGAGCCTGAACGCCATAACAGCCCAGTTTTGAGAAGATATACAAAAAAAGTTCTCTTCCTATTAGCAATTGTTCTGGTTTTTTCCCAATTATTCATGCCAAAAGAGCCACAAAATACGTTTCCTAAAGGCAGGCTTTTGCATAATTGAGGCTCTGCTTGATCGAACATGCACTTGGGGCTGACTTTTGTAACAACTCCTTGCTATTTTTAGCCTGGTTTCTTAGGTTTATGTAATGAGAAATTTTGCAAGTTTCCCAGACAGAACTGTAACTTTGAACTGATTGGCTAAATTTAACTCAATTTGACAAACAGAGGAATTAAAAATTTGTACAAGTTTCATCAAAAAAAAACAGAGATGAGAACTTGAAACTTTTATAAGAAGTTTTCTAATAACTGATTCTGTTCACCACTTTCTACTGTCTAGTAGAGCAATCCAGAAGTTGCTTCCAAAACGCTCTGCAGAAAGATTGTGAAAGAAAAGGAATTTGTTCAGATACATGAGGAGATAATAAAAAAGTCATATTTATTTCAACTGAGCTCCGTGGACACTTGATGAAGCACTCCCTCCTCTCCCCTCTCCCCCTCCCCACTATATTTTCCCCCAAGCCCCAGATCATATGGATTTTAAAACTGGATAAGAGGAAAAGCCAACAGAGTTATTCCTGGATCAAATACAGTGTCGGGGAAGACGCGAAGATCAAGGAAAACAAGAGTAGCACTTAAACTTTATTTATAAAAATACTGTAGGTGAGTTTCTCCCTCATTTTTCTTCTGATTCTTTGAAGAATTTTCTGTAAATAGTAAATATCTAGTCTATATAATATTAAGAAATGACACTGCAAATTCTCACATACTGCCCCCTAGCTCTATTTAAATAAAACTACAAGAAGACAGAGCCAGTCACCAGTCACCTTAGAGCTTTGTAACATGGTATTTGAGCACGGAGTGTATAAACTGCTGTACTATTTGGACAACGCCTTTTGATGATTTTTCCTTAAATTCTTTTCACAAAAATACCTTTATGCTGCAAACACCTATAATAAATATAAAGTGCAATGGTATTTTTTCCAGAAAATAATTATAGTCTAACGGTGATGTAACCATTCTGACTATGCATAGACACTAATCACAAAATAGCCAAAGACTGTGCGTCGTCTTTTCCTTCCCATCCCTCCCCCTCCACCTCCCTAGAAACAGAATTATGTACATTTTAAACCAGGCTAACTGAAAGAAGAAAAGCTGATACAAAGATTTTCCAGATCAGATACATTGCTCGGGGAAAAAGAAGAATGACGAATGCACACATACATAATTATAAATACCCTTTACAGCTTCTGCACAAATCAAGGATTTTCACCACTACTGAAGTGAGCATTCCAGGTAATAAAGACAGTTCCTACTTACAATGATATAGCAGAAAGACATCCAGGTAAAATACTCTGAGTAAATTAGCCAATTAGTTTGATGTTATTCTTTCTCTCTTTTTGCCTAGTAAGCCTACTGTCACAAATCAACGAACATGGCAAACTGAAGTAATAATAACATACAATATATTCATATGCAACAGACAACTTAACTGTATGCTGCTTTACAGCTTGGCTAAAAAGTAAGTGCTCTGATTTTTCAGGTTCCAAAATTCAGCTCTGGGTACCTGACTCTGAAAGTTGGGGTGCAGTGCCTCTAAGGCCGGAGGGTTACTCACTTGGTTTTAGCGACACACAGCCATTTCGTTCTGATGAGTGAAAAGAAACATCAGCCGCCCACGTTCCTTCCCTGGCGCTTTCGGGAAAATCATTCTTCTCCAGCGAGCATCACAAGGATGCAGGCAGGCACAGGCACAGGCTGCTTCTGCGCTGGCAGGAGGCTGAATCGCTGACAGTTTCACTGATGGGTTTCTCTCTCTAGACATAGCAAGCCAGAGAAGAGGCATAACCTTTTGTCAGTGTGACTTGTGCGGCAAAGAAAGGTATTTCTAAAAATAACTAGACAGCACCTGACTCTGAACGCTACTCCCCTGGTGGTCCAGTGGTCGGCCCTCTCACCACTGCAACCAGGGTTTATATCCAGGAAAGGATTCCTTGTTTCAGAAAATCTTCTCTGGTACATTCTTAGTTTTCATTGCCCTTGTAGCTGCAATTAAGGACTTTTTCATGGGTAAACAGAAATGTAACATCATGTGTTACCTACTCTGAAAATAACTTGCTAATTGTGAAGCATAACAAAGCAAGAATGATCTGCTTCTGCATCGAACAATTTCCTAAGACATGGAAAAAAACAACTTTGCCTGCACTGCTGCCATTAGCCAGGAGATCTCGTATTTCATAGTCCCAGCTACTTTTCTGAAACTGCCTAGGGAGAATATTTTGTCTCAGTCACTCAGACAGCTCAGGGGGAATCACTGTTTTCTTCCTCTGAGGTATCACAGCAGGGACGCTCTCTAAGAACAAACACTGCAACAGGGACAATGACCTTTTTGTAATGCAAGACTTCAATACTGGAAATGCAGCTCCTGTTTTTAAACTAGCTGTCTCAAGTATTGCTAGCAAGATAGCCAGGGAAGCAGAGAATTCAGCCCCTCCTCCCCGAACCCACCTGAGAGGCACAGTCAACGCGCTGTGTGGGGTAGCCTATGCTGTTAGACATGATAGTATGGAGTTAATAAGCATATAAACACATTCAAAGCTATCTCCATTTCTGCAGGGTTGACCTACTTTAACATTTGGTTGGTGTGATTTCCTCACAGGTTCCGGAGTCAAATCACTATATTTGCAGAGAAGTTTTCCTTCAGCTCAGATTTGCAGGTAACTGGGTCCCACTTTGCCTTTCTCTATAGCAAAGGGCACAGGTTGCCTGCTGGGTTCAACTGAATCTCTCATCTAACCAATTCCCCATCTTTGCATGGGACTCGGGGTCTGGTAGTGCCTCAGTCCGTACTGTTCCCTACCTGCAGCACTCCAGAGTGGTGTCTCCTCAAGGACTGCAATGTCTTGCTCTACCCAAAGAAGCTGCTATCAATATACACGTGACATCCAGTGCTTGCAGTATACCGGACATCTGACTATCTATCTAATAGGGCCAGCCCCTATCCTTATGTTTTATAAGAGAGTTACATTGTTGCACACTAAAATCAATCGATTTGGACCAAAAAAAAAACCTTTCATCTCAATGAAAGCACACGTTCTGTTCAAGCCTGCAAACTGTGAAAAGTTTTAGATAAAATGTACAATTGACTCAACAGGGACTGTAATAAGACAGTGAAAACCAAACATGCAAAACTCCTGATCACATCCCTGAGGAAATAGGGGTTCCTTTAGTTTGCTTTCAGACTCTACAGCCTTTAAGATAAGCTAAGTCATATTTGCAGGATACACAAGCATAGACTCTGAAGCTTATCTATTTTAACATGGAAAAGGTTTCTTATATAATTAATTTCAAAGTCAGAGAATTCGAGAAGTGAAGAGTTGCTTATATAGAGTAAACCCTCTTATATCGTGGTCACTGCTTACATAGAGAAAATTACTTTTGCTACTATCGCTTATGGATTTATATTGCTTAGGAAATCAACATGCCACAGGAAAAAAAATGCTCATGCAGACATCATCTGCATCTAGGCAGAGCTTTCACTCATATAGGAACGTTACCGAAAACAGAAAAGTCACAGATCTCATCCATGTTCTCTATCAGGTGAGAACGTCCTGGCAAAACAGGGTCAGTGAACTGCCAGTCTGGTTTGCTTTCGTGGAGCCACAGATTTCCACTTGGCAGGTCTTTTGCTCACCTTTTGCCTATAGGCCAAATACGGGAAAACTGAAAGTGTGCATTATTTTTGTTTCCCTGGCCGGCCTGATCGGCACACCGATTAACAGGGAGTGCAGGAAAGCCGGATCAGCACCCGCACCGCACTGCACCGCACTGCTGCCCCCCTCCCGGGAATCACTGCCCTGCATTTGTATGCCGGAGCACTCGGCAGGCAAGACCTGCCGGGGAGCTACTTAAACACCCAGCTGGATGACTGTCTTTTAAGGAACGGCGTAAACAGCGTAAACAGGGACCACGAAACGAGGAAAAAAAATCACCTCTGGTTTTGCCCAAGGTACGCTGTAACTTTTTTTTTCTAAATAGTATTTTTGAACAGCTACCAACATTCTTGAAAGGTTTTCCCTAGATTAAGGCGGACCATGAGGTTCAGTGCGGACCAGCTGGCACCGAGGAATATTATAACCGCGCTCGCTACGCACAGCACAGGGCGCCTGCAGGAAATACAGGCCACCGCAGACGCCTGGCCGCCACCGGCTGCCCAGCGCCCCGTGAACCAGCACGGGCATACCAGGTGTGCAAATAAATAAACACACAATTTTTTTTTAAAAAAAGCACATTCCTGTGAAGGGCACGTTAACTATCTGCTGTTTCAGCGG